AGGGGGGTGGGGAACAAAGGAAGTACAAAAAGGCCTTAAACTGTCACTGAGGTCATAGTGCTGGTGTTTTTTCTCTTTGCATCCCCCTCTTGAATTTTTTCATGAAGCCATTTATTTGCAAGAGCTGTGTTATTTTAGATTTCCCAAGTTTGTCCTTCCAAATTAGTCTTCCTTCTGTTCCTTGTGTTGATCCCTCTTCCTAGAGCAAGCCTGCAGAGAGAACTAGAAGTTCAGCATGGTGCTGAATGAAGAGTGGTGAGAACATACATCCTTGTCATGTTCCTAATCCCAGAGAAAGCATTCAGTATTCAGTCATTCACTGTTTTATAAAATGCTGGCTGAAGAAGCTTTTTTGTAGATGTTGAGTTGAAGAAGTTTCTCTTTATTCTTTTTTTTTTTGGAGTTTGTTTTTCTTAAATGGGTGTTGAATTTTGTCAAGTGCTTTTTATGCATTGATTGATAATTATTATGTAATTTCTATTTTTAGACTTCTAAGGTCACAGGTTATATTGATTCTATTTTTTTTTTTTTTTGGTACTGGGGATTGAACTCAGGGCTGCTTAACCACTGAGCCACATCCCTATCCCTTTTTACTTTTTATTTTGAGACAGGATCTCACTAAGTTGCTTCAGGCCTTGCTAGGTTGCTGAGGCTGGCTTTGAACTTCACGATCTTCCTGCCTCGGCCTATGGAGCTGTTGGAATTACAGGCATGCACCACTGTGCACAGCCTCTTTGATTGTTTTGAATATTTAACCAATCTTGCATCCATAGGATGAATCCTCTGGTATATAATTTTTAATACATTGTGGAACTCTATCTGCTAATATTTTGTTGGTTTTTTTTCCTTTTTTTTTTGTATTTTATACTTGAGGGATGCTGGTCTGAAGTTGTTTTTTTTTTTTTTTTTCTTTCTTTCCTTTTTTGTACTGTCTTTGGGTTTGTTTCAGTCTAATAGAGACCTTCTCAAAAATGATTTTAGGGGCTGGGGCTGGGGCTCAGTGGTAGAGTGCTTGCCTAGCATGTGTGAAGCACTGGGTTCAATCCTCAGCACCACATATAAATAAGTAAAATAAAGGTCCATTGAAAAATTTAAAAAATTAAAAAATGATTTCAGAAGTGATCTCTTTTTTATTTTCCACAAGAGATTTTATATAATTGATTTTGATTTTTCCTTAAACATTTGATAGAACTCTCCAGTGAAACTACATGTGCCTGGAAATATTTTTTTTAGAATTTTAATTTACAAATTTTATTTCTGTTGAGAGCCACAGCCGAAGCGGCCCCAGCAAACTTCTAGCTGATTGGCTCACCATGGCCCCAGCAAACTTCCAGCTGATTGGCTCCTCTACGGTGATGCTCATTGGGCTGTTTCCCCGCCCTTTCAGACCACGGAGCTGCTCATTGGGGGACTCTTTTGGCTCTGCCCACTCTACCCAGCCAATCGGCCTCAAGAGCAGGAGGAGTGGGGGCGTTGAGAGGCTTGTGGGAAGCCAGTGGTGGCAGTTGGGCTCTGAGGGAATTCCTGAAGAGCTCTATTGGTGCAGCGTGTGTTCTAAAAATAAAGTTTGTTTCTTTTGACAAGTGGCTCGTGAATTGTGCCCAGCCAGACTGCGGCATATTTCCTTAATATTTACAATTCTATTCAAATTATCTCTTTCATATTGGGTAAGCTATAGTTTTTGTTTTCTGAGGGATTGGTTTGTTTCATACAATTGTCAAATTTTATGTGTGAAGGGTTGCTCATAATATTCTTTTGTTTTTCTTTTGATAGCTCCTTGATCTGGAACAATATCCTCTGTTTCATTTCTGATTTTGGTAATTTGTGTTTTCTCTCTTTTTTCCTCTCAGTCATGCTAGAGGTTTGATAGTTTTATTGATTTTCAAAAATTTTATTGATCTTTTTAAAGCACCAATTCATTTTGCATCATGTTCACACACTGAGAATCTCTAAGACAGTCACTTCTTTCTTTTCAGTTTGTTTCTCCTCTATCCTACTTTTACATAGTTAACATTTTCTTTCAGTTGCATTACACATTCCTGTGGCCTTTTCTCTCCTCTTCTGTGTCTTGGCGGGTGCTCTATTATGTTTACCCTTCCTTTTGGCCTTGCTTCTGAAAGGTGACCACATCTTGCTGGTATTTCTAGGTTTCATTTTTTATTAAGACTGCTTTAAATAATAATTGCACAAGACAACTCTGAGTTCTAATTAGAACCATTATAGCTACATTGTAGAAATCTTGCCTAATAAAAAACCCAAATAATTTGATAGTTGCCAATTTTGAACACATCTAAGTGTGCAAGACCATAGTGTACTGGAAAGGCATGGTGACACCACACTAGGGTTTAGGTCCTGGCTATATTGCTTACAATCTAAAGAATAGCCAGAGTGACTCTTCATTGCTTAGGTCTATTCCAATGAAGCCTTATAAGGTCACTAAGTGGATTGAAGGTAGATCTTGAAGTAGCATCAAGTTTTTAGAAACTGGTCATATATACTGTCATCCCAGGGGAGTAACAAGTTGGCATTCATTGCTGTGTTTTTGACTTATTACCACCTTGCCCAGCTTAGCTGAGTTGGAAGACTTTAGTGTTCCATGTACACAACTGCCTTGAGTATTGTCATTTTTGCAACTGTGTTTTAGGAATGCTCCCTGCCTAGAAATCTCCTTGCTTTCTTCTGTACTTCTCTGAATTCTAGCCACTCTCCAGGGCTAAATCAAGTAATCCCTGACCAGAGAGATCTTCTCTGGCAATCACAGATTAAACTGATGGACACTCTGAACTCTAGTAGCATTTTCTGCCTATGCCATTGAGCTGTTTTTTTTTTGTTGTTGTTTGTTTGTTTTTTTGGGAATCATTGGTTTGGGAACACAAGGTCTTGTCAAGACATTCCTGGGCTTCAGTCTTGGCTCTGCCATTTTTTAGCTGCATGACCTTAGGCAGGTGACTTTGCTTCCCTGAATCTTGATGGCCTCCTCTGTAAAATGAAAAATCATCTCTGCCTGTCCCAGTTATTATAAAGATCAGATAAAATATCTTAAAAGCTATTAAGTGCCAACTAAATATTGTGGGGTTTTAATACAATAATAGTTAAAAATCAAGGTTAAATGAGAAAATATTCATGATATAATGATGTAATAAGAGAATTGCAGCACTATAGGTAAAGTAAGAAAGATCCATGTGTGTTTAAGTGTGTGTTTACAAATATGTACATTAAAAGAATAGAAGACACTCTTCAAAATGTTACTCTGAGTAATGGTTAGTTCTGGGTGATGGGATGATCACTGTTTTTCTCTGTATTTTGAATTTTTAAGGATGGGACTAGAGTAGATTTATAAATTTAAAATATTATTTAAAAAAGAAAAATCAAAGTCTGGTGGTATGTTGTTATTTTATTATTTATATTCCACCATATTTTGGAAAGGCTTTAAAGTAGCATATAATATAGCAAGATAAAACTGAAATGTAAGACAAAAAGAAACAAAAGAGAAAACAGATAGGGAGATGATATGTAGTGACACTTTTAAATATTTGGTATTAACTATCTTGTGTTTTTTTAAAGAATGTTTTCGTCAGTCATAAATTAATAGGTAAGATTAACTCTGTAAAATAAAGGCAGCATTTTACAATATAATGTAATCAAATTAAAATGATGTACAAAAATGACTGGGGCTGTGGCTCAGTGGTAAAGCACTTGCCTAGCATGGGTAAGGCACTGGGTTCCATCTTCAGCACCACATAAAAATAAATAAATAAAAATAAGGGTATTGTATCCACCAGAACTAAAAAAATTAAGAAACTAAGAAATGATGTACAAAAGAATTTTCTGGTAGTTTTGAGTGAGTTAAAAATTCTAGTTTTTTTTGCATCACTATTCTCATTACACATATACAGCACAATTTTTCATATCTCTGGTTGCATATAAAGTATGTTGACACTAATTCATGTCTTCATACATGTACTTTGGATAATGATGTCTCTGGTTATTTTATTGTTGGGACAGTAAACATCTCCAAGAAGGCACAGTTGCTATTGGTTATATTATATTATATTCATAATATGCAAGTTACAAATATACATTTGATTAGTGTTGAGTTTTCATGTCTTTTTTTTTTCTCCTTGGTACTGGGGATTGAACTCAGGGCACTCAACCACTGAGCCACATCCCCAGCCCTATTTTGTATTTTATTTAGAGACAGGGTCTCACTCCGTTGCTTAGCATCTCACCATTGCTGAACTCGTGATCCTCCTGCCTCAGCCTCCCATGCTGCTGGGATTACAGGCATGCGCCACCATACCTGGCTCATATCTGTTTTTTTTGTTTGTTTGTTTGTTTTAAGAGAGAGAGAGAGAGAGAGAGAGAGAGAGAGAGAGAGAGGATTTTTTTTAAAGAGAGAGTGAGAGAGGAGAGAGAGAGAGAGAGAGAATTTTTAATATTTATTTTTTAGTTCTCGGCGGACACAACATCTTTGTTGGTATGTGGTGCTGAGGATCGAACCCGGGCCGCACGCATGCCAGGCGAGCGCGCTACCACTGAGCCACATCTCCAGCCCCGAGAGAGGATTTTTTAATATTTATTTTTTTAGTTTTCGGTGGACACAACATCTTTATTTTACTTGTATGTGGTGATGAGGATTGAACCCAGCGCCCTGCGCATGCCAGGTGAGTGGGTTACCGCTTGAGCCACATTCCCAGCCCTCATATCTATTTTTAATAAGTTTAATGGAGAGGCAAACTAGAGTAATGAAATTCAAATTGGGAGTGACATTCTTGCCCAAACTCTGCCATTAATTATGCTTAACTCCTTGGCTTATTCCACCTAGCAAGTTGAATAGCTTGAACCGTTTATAGTTTAGTAAAGTTGTAGTTTTATTTATTTAGGAATGTATATTTCCCTTAGTATTTCCACTAAGAATAATTATAGTATGTTAGTTGATCTATGTTGTTTCACTGAGTTGTTGGATATTAACATAATTTAAATATTTTTTTTTTTCACAGAGAGACCTCTCTCCCCCAAGGCTGTCAAAGGATTTGAAACTGCTCCACTTACCAAGAATTATTATACTGTGGTGAGTGTTCAGATGATGAGCAAAAATTTTCTTGACTCTGTATGGAAACTTTCTACTTGTCAAACCATTGATGTTTTCAGGTGACACAAAGGAAAAACTGGATAAAGTTGTATCGTAAGGTTCCAGTGCCATTTGCATTACCACATTGCTCTTCTGCTTGTAGGATTCTTATGGATGTCTGGAAGTTCTACATACATGGTACTAAACAATTCAAGGGTAGCACAAAGAATGAGGCCTGTTAAATACCAGTGAAAGAGAAATTGGTTCATACATAAGCATTATGGAGAAATTCAGCAGTTAGACAAAGTCTTTCTAGATATCAAGAAGGTGATTTCCCAAGTTTCTCTATTGCTGTACGTTTTAAGTGATTATGTTCTGTAAATTTTACTTTAGAATCAATCAATCCATTATATCCTCTGGAATATTATCAACTCTATTCTTGAGGAGAGACCTAAGGAAGACTACTCTTTGGCACAGAGGGAAGAATGAAACAGCTCTGGCTTGAACACAGATATATCAAACTTTATTAGCTATAAATAGGGCATGTGCAATACTCAAAATAAGTTCCTGTTTGAAAAGAAATCACATCATTCTCCTTAATCTACTCTCTGCTTGCCTTCATGCCTCCTTTTCCGACTTGGCTCAGTCACTAATGAAAAGGCCAAGTCATCATCACTCTAAGTTGCCCTGTCTGGTTGCCTCCCTCCAACCTCTGCTGAAACACAGCTTCAGTTTTTACCCAGTGTTTTCTGTGAATTTGTACTGCATGCTCATTTCATTTTGTGCATGGAAAAGAAGTTTTTAATCATCTCTATATAGGTATGTGAATGTCATTTGGTTTCCAAAAATTGAATTTCACTCTTCAGTGGATTTGTTCCATACTGGTGACATAAGCAGTAGGTAATGAGAAAACTTAAGACAGGAACTTTATAGGTAACATGGACAGTAATCATAAGGAAACTATTTTGTCAATATTTTTTTTCTCTAAAATTTCTGAGGAAAAAAATGTATGACTTAGCAGTGCTGGGTTCCTTCATCCCTTTCTTCCCGATCACTTTTTTACTGGTCCAGGTGACCTCTAATAATTTAATTTTTAAGGAAAGCAGACAGTTGAGTGATAGATGAAAATGTTACCATAGCTTCTTCTCTGGAGATCTGGAGCATACTATAAGTCTGCTTGCAATTTCTCTCTTTGTCTGCTGGTTCCACCAGTTCAAACTGTTGTTAGGGGTCTGGGGTATAGCTCAGTGGTAGAGTGTTTGCCTAGCATGCACAAGGCCCTGGATTTTATCACCAGCACTGAGAAAAAAAATGTAGGGATTACCTGACAGATTACCTGGCAGATTAACTTCTGTGGTTTTTATGGGCTTTATGTAAATCCTATACATATATTTTATAGAAACTACAGTTTATATAATCTACCTCTTATTGGAAAACATATGCATTGTTTCTAATTCCTTTATACTATAAACAATTTTGCAGTGAACATCTTATATATACAACTTTATCAAAGCATATCAAGATATGTAGGGTAAATTCTTAGAAGGCAAATTGTTTGTTTGAAAGATATATATGTTCTTAAAACTTATTGATGGATATTGTCTCAAATCGCAAGCTTAATGAAGAAAATATAAAGTCTTGGCCAATTCATACTGACTTATGAAGGAAATAGAGAACTTTCGCATTAATATTGTTAAATTATTGACTAGAGGCCAGTTGGTCATGTTGTAACTATGTATGGATGTGAAGAGATTTTAGTTGGTGTTGTTTTACAATTTACATTTCTTTGGCTTTGAGTGTTTATACACATTTTTAGTGGTGCTTAACTCAACATAAGTTCTCAGTGTTGTGATTGCCTTCCTTATTTGAATTGAATGCCTGAAACAAATTTTAAAAATACTGTCCCATCAAAGCTGGGCACAGTGGTGCATGCCTGTAATCTTAGCGGCTCAGGAGGCTGAGGCAGGAGGATAGCACGCTCCAAGCTAACTTCAGCAAAACCAAGGTGCTAAGCATTTCAGTGAGACCCTGTCTCTAAATAAAATACAAAATGGGGCTGGGGGGGTGGCTCAGAGGTTGAGTTCCCCTGAGTTCAATCCCCAGTACCCCCCACCAAATATTATCTCATCTATAGGATTTGGAGAAGTGGAAAGTCACATTCACCACATGAAAGATGTCTCCATCTGATCTTATATTAACTCTTCTTCCCACTAAGAGACATTAATTGTGTAGCTTTCCTATTGCTAGATCGATAAAACTACAAGTGACTGATTTTTACTCAATTTCAAAAACAACTTTTCTGATTATTTGACCTATTACATAAAAATTGTTATTAAATATCAGACAGTACAGGAGAAGTCTAAAGAAGAAAATAGATACACCTGTAGTCCCCACCACTTAAAAATGATCAGTATTAACATGTGAGTGAATCTCATGTCAAACTTTTTATGAAAGGCATATGTTATATGCATATATATGTATATATATATATACATATATATAGTGGGATACATGTGTGTATATGGTATATGTCTGTATCTTTTTAAAAATAAAAATAGGTACTATGTATTCTTCATTATTTCCCCTTCAAGGAGATTTTTCTATCCCCACACTCCCCTAGTACTTATCTCTGACCAGACCCATTATTATTTATTTATTTTAGATATACATGACAATAGAATGCATTTTGACACATCATACATACATGGAGTATAACTTCTCATTCTTGTGGTTGTACATGATGTGGAGCTTCACTGATTGTGTGTTCACATATGAACATAGGAAAGTTATGTCTGGTTTTATTCTACTGTCTTTCCCATTCCCAGCCCCACTTCCTTCCCTTATTCAGACCCATTTTTGTGTTCTTACATTTGAAGAATTTTTGCTAGTTCAAGCTCCCTTTATACTTCTATGTATTGTCAAATTCTCCAAAGGGCAGAGGATGGAGAGAGAGACAGAGAAAAAGAGAGAGAGAGGAGGAAATATGAGTAGGGAGATTTCCTATAAGAAATTGGCTCATGTGTCTATGGAGGCTGAGAAATCCCACGACCTGCTGTCTGCAAGCTGGAGAGCCAGGAGAGCCAGTACTATAATTCAGTCTTGAGTCTTAAGGTCTGATATGACCAGACAGCTGACAGTGTGAGTTTCATTTTAAGGACAAGAAAAAACCAATGTTCCAGTTCAAATAGTTTTGTAGAGAACAAGTTTTCCCTTCCTCTACCTTTGTGTTCTATGTAGGCCTTCAGTGGATTGGATGATGGCCACCTACATTGGGGAGGCAATCTTATCCCAGAAACCTCCTCAAAGGCATACCCAGAAATAATGTTTAGCTAAATACTATATCTGGGCACCCCAGGATCCAGTCAAGTTGACATGTAAAATTAGCCATGAATTTCTGTAAACTTGGGCAGGGTAGAGAGTTCTTGGAATTTGAAAATGAACAGTTTTCTCCCCAATTTTCAAATTTCCAGGGAATTGTTAGCTGATTTCAGCCCCACTTAAACCTTGATGCAATTCTGGTGTCATATCAATTTTGAAATGTTAAGAAGTTCTTCATTGTAACCAAGATGAAGTTAGGCACCCATCTTAGACCCATATCTGCCATGGGACATGTTTAATGTGTATAATTGAGGCTTTTCTACCAGCAGCCTGTTGTTTTGAATGGGAACTTAGCATCCATTAAGAATGTGGCACTGCAGAGGAAGACTTAGCTGCACCTGACCTTGGTTTCTTCATTGTCCTCAAACTTTTCTGCCATATGTTATGCTTTTATTATCATTGAAAAAAATTCATTTTCTTATTTATATATTTTTTTCTAATAGTCTTCATATTGGCTTTCTTTGCCCATTGAAACTTGATGTTATGTGCCAGGAAGGATTAAAAAGCAAAGAACAGGAGCCAGGTGTGGTGATCCAGTTGCTTGGGAGGCTGAAATAGGAGAATTGTGAGTTTAAAGCCAGCCTCAGCAAAAGTGAGGCGCTAAGCAACTCAGTGAGACCCTGTCTAATAAAATACAAAATAGAGCTGGGGATGTGGCTCAGTGCTCAAGTGCCCTTGAGTTAAATCCCCAATACCAAAAGAAAAAAAAAAAAGCAAAGAACAGAAAAAGGAATCTATGCAGCCTAATTGCTAGACTGTACATAGGCCTTGGCACCCATAGTCTCATTTAGGAAGGTAGGACTGACATGATAGCTTTAGCCACAGAAGAGAGAATGATGTCATAAGATGGGTATCTCAAAATGTGGTTGGGGATGTTTTGCATCAGAAGCGCCCAGGAAGCTTGGTACAACTACACACAGATGGGCCCATAGATGACTTGCTACATTAGAATCTCTGGACATAAATCCCATGAATTGGATTTTTAAGCAACTTACCCTGTCTGTTTCACAACCCCCTTCCCTCCCCACAGGTGATTTTGGTGCTTACTTAAAGTAAAATATGAGAATCAGTAGGGGAAAGGGAATGGAGGAGGTAGTATTCAAGATGTGTCTAAGAAGAAAATCAGAGCTTATATAAGCAGAGAAAAACTGAAAGGAAATTCAGACAGGAAGAACTATATGAGCAAAGTTCACCAGGCAAGAATGTATATGCCTGCAATTCATCCCTGTAGGTCATAGAGTTGACCATACTCTCTTCTTCCCCCATCAAAATGTCCCTTGGAACTATTGCAGCACACTGTAACAAAGCTGTCTTTTGTGGTATCACAAAGGCTATATGCACAGTTTTCAACTTTGGGAATGAGCTTCTATCTGCAGAGTGAGAAATGCTATCTCTGTACATTCAAGTAAGATCCAGTATTATTTATTTTGTTCTGACTTTCTTCCATTTTATATAACTTACAGTTGATGCCTAAAGGGCATGTCTCACAGAACCGACATGCAGTAGGAAAGGTGGGAGGAAGTCTGTGGCATTTAAAATAAAATATCCTAGGAAGCCTCCTGTAACTCTTGCTGTAGCCTCCTACCTGCTTACCCTCATTTTCTCTCCCATCTCTCCACCCA